CCCCTACCAAAGACTGAGAAACTCATAATGTCTTCTCCATAATTGGAGACAAAAGCAATGAAATTCCATAGAAAAATTTTCCTGTTCACTTTTTCACTTTTGAAATAAATACACACTAAAAATTTTGGACTGGGATGAGGAAATAGAAGAACAATGTACTTAGGGGAAATTTTTCAAGGAAAAAGGGTTCTTAGTATTTTATAAATTTTATAAATTGGGGGGAGGGTGTGGCTGGGTCACACCTGATGAGGCAAACAGGGTGCTGGGGAATGAACTAAGGTCAGATTTCTGCAAGGCAAGCACTCTCTCTATCCAACCCCTAAAGCTGAGATTTTTTACAAATAAATATATTTCAGCCAAGGATATGACTAAGTTGCAAAGTGCATGCCTGAGACATGGGTTCTTCCCCAACAATGCTTTTACTGCCCAGGTATTCTTATCAGCACTCCAAGGTTTGGAGCAGTTCCCTTTGAAAAATCACATGAGTTTCTCAGAAAATGGTTCATTTCTGGACAAATACTGTTCACTCTGACTGGAACAGAATCTTCCATCCAAATAAAGAATTGTTTGTACCTCATTCCCTTGCCATTTCCTCTCTGGTCAACACTAATTACTACTTTCTTGGAGAATAAATTCCTTTCCTCATTTTTCTGTTTGCTAAATCAAATAGAAGTGAAAATAATATTTTTTTTAAAGTGGAGCATGGAGAGATAGTACAGGGGGTAAGGCACTAGCTTTGCATGTGATTAACCTGGGTTCAAAACCCGTCATCCCAAGGGTTCCTTAGGCACTGCGAGGAGTAATTTCTGAGTGCAGATACACACATACAGTCTGTCTCTCCCTTGCCCTCTCCCCCCTCTTCCTCACAGAGAAAGGTACAAAAGAAAAAGTGACTTCTAATTAGAAAAAGGAAGCAAACGGCAGGCTCTCTTCAGTAAAAATGAAACCACAGAATAAGAGTTTATAGACCCCTGACTCTTAACTAGAGTTGATGCACCAAATATTTCTCGCCTATCAGGTGCTGTATTATTGCAGGGTGCCACAGATATTTACTTTTGCCATAGCAGTCAGGGAATTGTTTCTATTTTCCCAGGTTCACGATGTGGCTCAATGGCAACACATCTGTGAGACTCAGAGCAGCTTTCTGTGCTCAGGAATCATACCTGCCATTGCTGGGGACCAAACCAGTCAGTTGAACATGCTCAACCCTGATACTACAGGACAAAAAACAGAATCCTGGTTAAGAGATTTAAAACCAGAAAAGTCTTGCAACGCTTGTCTCTACTACTCTCAAGTATAGGGCAGCCACGGGGGACGTGGCTCAAAGGGCTCAGCCCATGTTCTGTATGTGGGAGTCCTACGGGTGAGCCCTGTCATCATAGTACTCTGCACACAGCCAAGAGTGACCTCAAGCAATACACAGGAACACCACTGGGCGAGGCCCAAACACCAAAAGAAAAAAAAAACCCAAAACTAAATATAGAGCAAATGGCACAAATTACACTCTATCTAAAATTTGCAGTAAAAATAAGAATTATGAGGCATATTTCTGCTCTCTCTGGGCTGGAGCAATAGCACAGCGGGTAGGGAGTTTGCCTTGCACCCGGCTGACCCAGGTTCGATTCCTCCATCCCTCTCAGAGAGTCAGGCAAGCTACCGAGAATCCTGCCCGCACAGCAGAGGCTGGCAAGCTCCCCGTGGCGTATTCGATATGCCAAAAACAGTAACAAGTCTCACAACGGAGACGTTACTGGTGCCCACTCGAGCAAATCGATGAACAACCGGAGGACAGTGCTACAGTATTTCTGCTCTCTATGCACAACATCTGCCTATATTTGTGGTGAAAAAAAAAAGTCTCACATCTTTTATTCCTTCTTTTCTTTTGAAAACTGCAACTTAATCTAAACAGAATCACAGCATTTTATATACAGTTTTGGAGAAATCTGTGAGACTTTAGAGCACTTTTCTGTGCTCAGGAATCATACCTGCCATTGCTGGGGACCAAACAGGTCAACTTCATGCAAGAAACTTTTTTTTTGAGCAGCACAAGGAGTAATTTCTGAGTGCAGAGCAACTTCCCCCCAAAACAAATAACCCCCCCACCTTTTTAAAAAAAAAAATAAACAACAAAGCTTAATAGAAATAGCACTGATTTCAAACTGAGGTGCAAATGTAGGCACACCACTAACTAGTTTATGATCTTGGCCATGTAATTTCGCTCTGAGCCTTTGCTTTCTCATCACTTTCCTTTTTTGGAGTAATTCTGAAAATTAAATGAAAAGTAGAATCTGATTGTATATGGCATACATGAACAACAAATCTAACTTACCTTTCTGCCTAGTCCACTGTCTGTATCAGTCATTACTCACTACCAAGTGGCTAGACTCACGACATTATTTTTCAAGGGGGCTGATAAAGAAGTGGATAGAAACAGGGAGAAGAAAAAGCTGGCCCTTACATTCCAGGATGTGGCTCATTAGCTGGGTGCATTTCTCCCATGTATAAGGTCCTGGCTTTAAGCCCGGGAACCTTGCTCTTACGAAAAAAAAAAAAAAAATGAATCCTATGATGCTCAAGGAAGTGGACTTGGGCTCCTTGGGAGAGAGACGATAAGTAGAAAGACGATGTGAACGTATATGTCATGTTTAACTCCTAATGATCATTAAATATTTGTCCAACTGACTTGTGTCTTGTGAATTATAAAATTTGGGAGTTGTTTTAGGAAATACAAATTTTGTTATTAACAATGATCTCATAATTACATTTTGTTAAAACATCAAGTAATATTATACAACTATAACTTTTACTATAAGGCAACTTTGGGTTGTCAAATACCTGACACTAAACATACACAAGCTTTTTGGCTGTTTGTCTTTAGGTCTCCCCAGCCACCAGGGGCCTTCCTAGGGGCCTCCAGGTCACAAAGTGGCACCTAGACACCATCTAGTGCTGGCGTCCAACCAGGGTCCTGGCGCTATGTGCTCCAGTCCTTCAAGTCCTCTCCCTCGTCCCATAGACAGGCTTCCTCCACAGGGAGGGGGCCTTCAGGCATGCTCAGAAGGCCCAGGGGGCTCTTCCTGTGATTCTCAGCCAGCCAGACATTGGTTCAATCCAAGGGCCTGAGAATGTGGTGCTCCTTAGGCTGTGCCAAGGATCAGCCAAGTGTGCTCAGGGCTCCAGGGCTCTGCGGTAGCACCTAGTAAATGTTTGGGAACCATGTGATGGCAGGGTTGTCAAGGAGATCGTGTGCAAAACACACGCCTTTGCCCTTGTACTCTCTCTCTACTCCACCACGTATTTCTAATGAATTTGGAATTTAGCTTAAAATTAACAATGGACTTCATCAGTACAGATGGACTTACAAGTTAATTTTTGAAAGATTTTCACCAAAAAAATCCATGATTCTCTGGTGCCAGGAGATGTGGCTTAGCAGTAGAGCAGGTCTTGCACATATGAGGTTCTAAGTGTGAGCCCCAACACCATACACATTGCACATACAGAGCATATGCATACATATACACACACATATAATGCATATATAAAATATTATTAACAAAAATTTCTTATTAAATTATATAATCAAAATTAAATCGTGTTGTACCGAAAGTTGTACCAAAGTTCTGATACCTTTCAAAACTCCCTAAAATTGCTTTGCTATATAGCCACAAGATTTACAAATACTGTAAACTATGAAAATAGTTAATATTAGTGAGACCAGAGCATATATGACAATGAGACAATGAGAGTTCAAGCTGGTACCATCACCCTAGAAAACAATTTGGCATCACTTAGTAATTTCACATACAAATCCCAAACCACCAAGCAATTCCAATGCCAAAGCTTAGGCTTTTGCACCAAAAAACATATAACCTGAAGAAATTCATGGTACAGTCAGAGACGGTATCGGGGTAAAGTGCTTATTTACATTTAGCTGACCTCAGTTTGAATCCCCAGCACTGCAGAGCCAGAAATGAGTTCTGAGCACAGCCGGGTGCGGCCCAAAGGATTAAAAGAATGAAAGAGAAAGGGAGGAAGGGAGAAAGGAAGAAACTGAAGAAAGAATAAAGCAGCAGCATATATTTGGGGGAGTCCTCGCAGGCGGTCCTCAGGAGACCCTGCAGTTATTTCCAGCAATTCTCAGCCATCGCGACGCAGGAGCCAGGGGCCCTGCAGTGCCGGGGCGCCACACGGACCAGGGGCTCCAGGGTCGTGCCCAGCCGTGCCCAGGAGGCCACTGGGGCAGCACCTAGCCCAGGTCAACGCATGCCCTCTGCCTGCTTAACCGTCCTCCTTTCTCTGCCCCTAGCTAGTAATCCTCCCCAGAAACGGCAACTCTCTGGAGGGTGCAAGGGGGAGCAGCTGGACCTCCGTAGGTTTAAACTCATAAACTAACGGGATGAGTCACAAAAACGCGACTTTGAGAAAACCAGTCACAGAAAAGGTACTTCACTCTCATCACTCTCAAAGTCGGCGGGCCACGGGCGAGGAGCCGAGAGGCCACAGGCGGCCGCGGGCTGGCCCTGCCCGGCACGTGTCCTCCCGGGGTGGGGCCCTGGGCAGGGGCGACCCCGGGGCCGGCGGCCAGGCCCCCAGCCAAGGGGCGCTGCGGGGGCCGGAGAGGCAGCAGGACGGCCGGGGCCTGCACCCACGCGCTGGACCCCGCTTCGGCCCACGGCGGCCAGGAGCGGGTGCCCAGTCAGGAGCGAGCCCCGGGCCCCCACCCCAACCGAGCAGACGCAGAGGGGCTCCGCGCTGGCTCGCCCCCTACCCTCCCTCACGGGGATGAGCACCAGGGTCCGCTCCAGGAGAACGCCCACCCGCAGCGGGGCGGAGCGATGGCCGAGCCGCGGGCACCGCCGACTGTGGGCCCGGGCCGGGCCAGACCCGCGCACACCCCGCGCCGCCCGCGCCGCCGCCGAGCACAGGCCCGACTCCTCTCCGCGGCCCCGTCCTCCTCGGGCCCGCACCTCGGCCCCGCGCGCACGGCCCCGCGGGCTCACCGCGCCGGCTCCCGGGCGCCCGGCGGGGGGCCCCACAGCTCCGTCGCCGCCCTCGCTTCCCGGGCCCGGGGACTCCGGGCACAGCGGCTCCACGGGCGCCGGCTGCACCGGCCGCTCGGACTCCGGAGGGGCCTGCTCCATGGCCGCAGCTCGGACGCACTGCGCCTGCGCGCGCCTCCCGGAGCCCCGCCCCCGGGCGCGCTCCGCCCCCGGCACGCCACGCCACCGCCACGCCCTGCCACGCCCCGCCCCGCCCCGGCACACCCCGCCCCGCCACGCCCCCGGCACGCCACGCCCCCGCCACGCCCATCTCCATGCCACGCCCCCGGCAGGCCCCGCCCCGCCCCGCCCCCGGGATGGGGATGGGCCCGGGCTGAGACCGGCGCGGCTGGCTGGTACTGTGACAGCCTGGAACCGGAGAGGTCGCAGCCCCGTGCAGCCCCGGCGTGCCCGGGGGGCGCGCGCCCAGAGAACTCGCAGCTCAAGGGAGATGAGGGGAGACCGCGGTCTGGCCTGTTTCCCCACTTGCGGAGGCGCCACGGGCTCGACTACCCGGAGGGGCCCGTGAATCGTTAGCTCAGCGCAGGCTGGACAGTGCTCAGCGCTCCCAGCCCTGGCGGGGCTCCAGCAGTGCCGCGGTCCAGAAAGGCCTGCGGTTGCTGATCTTCTGCAGGTGTCTGCAGCTGAAGCTTTGGGACTTGTTTCCTTGTCATTCGCCTGGTAACAGAATGGTCCTGTGGTTTGTGGGAGGCCACCCACGCTGTGCTGGGCTCCCTCTTGGCCCCGGGTGCGGGAGACTACTGGGGACGGGCCATGGACGGCGCCCTGAAGGCGAGCTTCCTTCCTCAAACCCAAACCCATGGGATTTTAATAGACCCTGACTCTTGCTGCTATCACTCTGGCCCCAGACCGAAGGTCCTGACTGTGTGTGAGACTCCAGTGCCTCGGGGTACCTGCTATACAGAAGGAGGCGTTACATTCTCCAAAGGAAAACTGATCTTCGCTCCAAATGGCTATTTCACACTCTTAACACAATTTCCTCCTACTGAAAGGTTTTTTGAGACCTGATGGCAAATTTCCCATTCACCTTTAAGTCACACCCAAATGTCAATATCACCTTACTCATATATAAATCAATTATCGGGGCCATGGAGACACCACCGTGGAAAAGGCACTTGCCTTGCATTCACCCAATCCGGTTCAATCCCCAGCAGCTCACATGGTCCTGAGCCTGCCACAGCCGGGAGTAATCCTCCAGCACAGGGAATGTGCCCCCAACAACGACCAGTTATCACCTTCCTTGTAATTACGCATTTGTCAGCCTCAACAAGATTTTGGGCTACTTTAAGATAAGGGACCCTATCCTAACTAGTTTTCTCTTACCAAACCTAGGACATTTACTCAATAAATGTCTAAAGATATTGTATCTTTAGATAAATATTTATTTATGCATGGGGATTATTTATGCATGGCACACTCTCAAAAAGCCTATTTTTAACTTAGAAGCCTTTTATTATAGGAAGTTGATATTTCTTTCCAGGGACAAGTTGTATTAACTATCCTGTGCCTTTTCCTGGATTTTTAGACAACCAGGAAACCAGCAGGGAGTAGGAACAAGGAAAAGCGCGGCAAAGCAGTGACTAATGCCTGGGATGTAGCTCAGTGGGAAAACACTGGCACTGAAAATAGTAACTCTGAAATAATAGGGGCACCTGTTTCGCCTTTATTCGTATCCCTTTTTGTGTGAAAAAGAAAAACCAAAACAAAACAAAAAAAACCCACCAACCTTTTGTTTGGGGGCCATAACTGGAAGTACTTAGGACTTACTCCTGGTTCTGTGCCAGGGATCACTCCTTGCCTGCTTAAGGGACCAGATGGGATGCCAGGATCAAACATTGCTCAGCTCCATGCAAGGCAAGCGCCTACTCGGCCCCACCCCCTCCCACCCCTTACCTTTATTTTTTAAAATTCTCATCTGGTAGAATCATCTCCTTCCTTTCCTATTATTTCTGGTAATCCACCACTCAGTTTCCATCGCTGTATAAAGAGATCTTCCAGTGTAGATTCTGGAGTAACCACACTAATTTGCCTTTCTTGGGGGAGGGGAATAACATTAAGTTAACCATTTGCAGGGAATCAGGGAGGGAGGCAGGATCAAATCCAGGTCTCATGCATGTAAGCCATGCACTTTACTGAAAAGCCACACTCCAGTTCCACTAAGGAGTTGTATTTAACAAAATTTAAAGTCATATAATTAAGCATTTTAAGAATTTATCTGTAGAAGTTGGCTCCTCAGGTGCCAAGTATTTCTAGAGGGGCAAAATAAAGTACCAGATTGTGAAGTGAGGGACTCAATATTTTCTTAATTATTTTTGATGACACGGAGGCATTGGGGTCACATAGGCCACGACTTACAAATTCCACTAACCAGTATGTAGATACCATACACAACTCAGTACACATCTGAGTCTTAATGGGTCTTAATGTCTATTTAAATGCAATAAATTTGGTGGGACTAAAGATATACAGGGTGGCAAGTCACTACCTGGTTAAAAAATAATAATAGCCTAAATTCATGGGCTAGAATATTCTGCTGCATCCACTCTTGAGCTTCTTAAAAAAATAATTCCTACTCTCTGGGGGGAAGTATTATTAAAATGAAAAACATGGGACCCCAACAGAGAAAGAGACACACAAGAATAAGTCAGAAGTCCTTGTTTCAAAGAAGCCAAGGGTTTCTAGTTTATTTTTGTGGTGGCGGTGGTGGGGATGGGGGTGTCTGACAGGGGTGTCACAGCTGGCTCTGCCTAGAGACCACAAATGGTGGTCCTCCAGGGGACATATGTGTGCCAAAGTCAGAACTGGGCTTGGTAAATGCAAGACAAGTACCTACCAGCTATATTCTCTGCCCCACTCTTTTCCTTTTATATTATTGCTCTGCGTCTAAAATATTTTACTTTTTGGAAGAGAACTATTGGGGAAGTAGATAGGTACTGAACACTGAATTGAGGGTCTTCTGCAGGTAAAGTATGGCCTCTATCATTGAATTATATCCTCCATCCCTCCAGTATAGGGCTGGAGCGATAGCACAGCGGTCGGGCGTTTGCCTTGCACGCAGCCAACATGGCCGACCCGAGTTCGATTCCTCCGCCCCTCTCGGAGAGCCCGGCAAGCTACCGAGAGCATCTCGCCCGCACGGCAGAGCCTGGCAAGCTCCCCGTGACGTATTCCATATGCCAAACACAGTACCAACGAGTCTCACGATGGAGACGTTACTGGGCCCGCTCGAGCAAATCGATGAACAACGGGAGGACAGTGACAGTGACGATCCCTCCAGTATACTTTAAAGACAGTAAATGAGAATTTTAATTAAAAATAAATTTGGGGGGGGATCACTCCCAGCGATGCTCAAGGGTTCCTCTTGGCTCTGCATTCAGAAATTACTACTGGAGGTGCACTGAGGACCATAAGGATTGCTGGGAACTCAACCAGGATCAGCTGTGCTGCAGGCAAGGCGAGTGCTCTACCTGCTGTACTGTTTACCTAGTCCTAAAAATTCTTATTTAATTTGTTTCCTTATTTCCCCCGGAGTCCTAAAGATAATAATACAACGTGGGGCTTTTAGTTTTTGGCCACACCCAATGCTCAGCAGTTTTTCCTGGCTCTGCACATAGCAGTCACTCCTAGTGGGCTCAGGGGACCATAAGGGATGCCGGCAATGGAACCTGGGTCAGCCGCGTGCAAGGCAGGCCCCTGCCCACTGGGTTATCTGGCACCTAGGCTTCTTTCCTTCTGGTATTTGTGCCCCAAAGATAATGCTGTTAGTCCAAGCTCATTGTTTGGGGAGACCGTGTATTGCCAGGAATCACCCCATCCGCAGCATGCAAAGTCTGGACAGTAGCCCATTGAGCGATCTCGCTGGCCTTGAAAGTAAGATCCTATGGAGAAGGGGTGAGGAAATGGCTCAAAGACAGAGGTGTTCGCTTCCCCGTCAGGAGCCCAGGTTTACACTGCCTCCCCCACCCCCAAAATAAGGAATTTAAAGAGAAAATGTCCCTCTTAAATGACTCCACTAAATGTAAACTTCTTAAAATACAAACTTTTATTTCTATTCACAGAAACAGACAAAAACCTCATTGTTCTTTAGTTTTATTATTTTTCAATCTTCCCAACACAAACTATAATTCATTTTGAGATTTTTCAGTGCGTTTCACAGCAAAAATGAACAAGGGAATCATTAAAATGGTTGTACGAATACCCATTGTCTTCTTATAATTTACAACTTGTTGACAAAATTGTCTTGCTCTTTTCATCCTATTAACCCCTTCAATAGAATACAATTAACCAGAGTACAAAGCTGAAGCTTCTTTTGATGGTGGGACAGATGCAGCCACCCACAGTGGCTGGTGAATACAGTATATGGTACACACTGATTGGAAGACACAGCAGAAGGGACAGAGTAAGGCACCACGCTTGAAAAATTAAGGTAGCTTGCAGTAACAAGTGCTGAGCACCCTAAGTAGGTACTCAATAAATACTCGAATGAATGATGAAAGCCATAATTAGCACTATTCTCTTAATTGCCAGCAATTCTTCAATCTCAGTAAAATACTTATTTTTAAAAAATATCTGTACCTGAATGCAACTTCCTGATATCTTTTACATCCTGATAGCATTTAATTTCATACTTTATTCAGCATTTGAGTTTCCTTGGGGGAAAAAAAAGAAACCAAGAGCCCCCCCACCCCACACCCATTCCATACCTTCCTTACATGCAATCACTCATGTATATAACTCCTGAATTACTGACAAGTATGAATAGCTGTTTTAAATTCTGAACAATCAGAGGTAAGGTAAAGCATATTTGTCCAGAAGGATAGCACATAATACTGGATATCAACCTACAAGTGAAAAAACAAGGTAAGAAGAAAAAAGTAACAGTTCTATCTTTTAATATTTGCTCTTCTTTAATGCCTCAGTTCTTCAGAAAGGCCCAAATTTCCTCATACTGACATAAACACGTTTTTAAAAAGTTGTCTCTTGAGTGTGATATTTAATAAAACTAGCTATTGAAAATTGCTCTGAAATCTTTCAAGTCGATGTTGTTTTCAAGTATATTAAAATGCTCGGAAGAAAAATTCTTCATGGTTATAACGCTAATTAATTTATAAATATGTTTTTAAAAGAGAGCTCCAACAGAGGTGGAAGATGAATAAGTTCCTTGAACACATGGAAGCAGTCTTTTTGAAGGAACAGAATGCCTTGTTACTACCACTAGGTTGATTTTTTTTAACACTGATTCCAGGCACAGTGGCTGAACCCACTTCTGGGTCATCTTCCTCCTGCTCCTCCTGTCTGTTTACAAGAGTAGTGAACACTTCAGTTACTGAGAGAAAGCAAAGCACAAACTCTGACAGAGACCTCATTTTTCACTACAAAGAAATCAAAATCTCTTCCTCACTGCTGTATACATCAGCTGCCCCCAAGCAAAAATAGGGGATTTGAACTCAGCATTAGGAGCAGGAATGGATAAAAAGTGAATCGCCTAAGAACTCAGGTAAAGGTTCCAAGCGGACGCTGTTCACGCTGCGGACGAGCAGCTGGAGCGAGGTCCGTCGTGCTTCTCCGACACTTTGGTCTTGCGCAGTCCTGCAGATGTCCAGCAGGAACACTCGGGGTCACCTAATTTCTGTCTGTGCAATCAGAAAGCAGGTCACTCAGTGCAATGACTCCATTCTGGGAGGGGAGGGTAAACAGAGAAGCTCCTTTGGTGAGTCTTAGACAGCGCATGTCACTCTGCTGGTTGTGAGGTTGGAATTACTTTCCAAAGGGGCTTGTGGTAAATCCAGCCATCTCCCTGAAACAAGGAAAAAATCAATCACAGAGTCATTCCTCTAATAGCTTCAGAATCAGTAACCAAAACTAGAAACAATACTTCCACTGAAATAAAAGTCTGTTCTCAGATTTGATAACAGGAGCTTTTGTGCAGGGAAAAGGTCTGTGTGTTCATTTTCTGGAAGCACCAAGAAAAGAAAGTCTGCGCTTGGGCTGGAGTGATAGCACGGTGGGTAGGGTGTTTGTCTTGCACGCGGCCAACCCGGGTTCAATTCCCAGCATCCCATATGGTCCCCCGAGCACCGCCAGGAGTAATACCTGAGTGCATTGCATGAACCAAGAGTGATCCCTGTGCACTGCCGGATGTGACCCAAAAAGAAAAAAACGTTTGTACTTGAGACATCAGACAACACAGAGCTTTGGATAAACTTAGCTGAGAAGTTCAAGCCTGGGAGGATGGACCCGTGCCCCCATGAAGCTTTTCTGTTGGAAACCTCACCTGCAATGCCTCTGGCGCCTGTGATCAACCGCGGCAGACTGCACCTCCCCAAGAGCCCTGCCAGGCAGCAGGTGGGCTCAGGAAGCCTCACACAAGCCTGGCTGCAGCACCAAAGTGTCCCCTGACTCCACCTGGGGTGAGTTTCCCCTAGTTTCTCAACAGGACACCACGCGGAATCAGGGTGAAGTAGAGACAGATCGCCAAGTGTAGAGAGGTCAGCAGTGAGCCTGGGCTTGGATCAGCAACCACTGTTCATGGGCTGTTCCTCTGCTTCCCTTCCTGCTTCAGGGTCGCGGCACGGTGCTCAGGGGCCACACCCGGTGCTGGAACCCCTGCCAGCCTCACAGAAGGCAGGGCCTTACCCACTGCACCACCTCTACCTGTGTCTCCTGCAATTCACTGCATGTATGTTTAAAAGTCATGTTTGCATATTTACCCTACCTTATTCCAAAAGACTCGAGGGCACTAATTATCTAGCTCACATACATAGGGACCATTTTCTAATTTCCTAAGATAGTTCAGGCTCTCTTCTAAATAAGGCGCTGTCCATGGGACTGCTGAGTCCTGATAAAAACACAGAAACACAGAACTCCCTACTACCCTAGAAAAATCAATCAAATTTTTCAGTGAATTTTTTTTTTTAAGGAGTCATGCCCAGAGGTGCTCAGGGCTTACTCGTGGCTCTGTGCTCAGGAATCTCTCCTGGCATGGCCGGGGAACCATATGGAGTGTGAGGGATCAAACCCAGGCGTCAGCCGCAAGCAAGGCAGAAGTACCCATTGCATTATCATCCTGGTCCTGAAATTCCTCAGTGATTTTTATCCATTCATTTGTCCTAGCCATTGACTATAAATCCTCACTTGTCTCTATACTCAAAGTTAAGTTTAATCTATTATAATAGCTTTTACAAAAATTTTACCGAAGCGCCGTGATTTACACAGTTATTCATAGTTGAGTTTTAGACATACAAATTCCAGCAGGGGGCGCATCCCCAGCATCAGCTCCCCTCCCCCAGCATGTTCAGGCCCCCTCCTGCCGCCCCCTGCCCAGCTGCCCTCTTCACAGCACCTGCCTAAGCTCGGCAGTTAAGGTGCTGCTGACTCTGGTCTGGGTATTCAGCCGTCATGCCTCGATGCGTCTGAGTCCCTGGCCTGCCCTTGCCGCTTCTCATCTGTCACTTCTCCTTCTCGCTCCATTCTGTTTTCTTTTCTGTACAATAGCTTTTAATAAAGTCCTCCTTGGTACTTTAAAAGTGTCGGAATAATCTCTCTAACAACCGCAGCCATTGGACTTATGCGATAAAGTACCTGGCTGATAATTCCCAGCACCTATACTGTTCTCCAAAATGACGTAACCTGCCCACTAGACCGAGAAGTGGAGCAAGTCACGTGACTTTCCCGGCTCACACATGTGAAACGATCTGTCCAGCTTCACCCAAGGTAAGGCAGAGTACCTTCAGTGCACCATCTGTCTATCTACCCACATTTTAGTTTTCTAAATGAAATTTTAAAAATACAAATATTTTGGCTTTGGAGCCACAAACAGGGCTCCAAAGCTCAGGGCTTCCTTCTGGCTCTGTACCCAGGGGTCACTCCTGGTGGGCTCTAAAGACCATAGAGGGTGCTGGGGATGGAAGCTAGGTCAGCTAGGTACGGCAAGTGCCTTCCCTATCCAGTGCATTATCGCTTGGCCCCAGCTGACAAATATTTTAGGAAGAACACTGAGGTTACAGAGCCAGAGAGGACACTGGGCAGGGCACCTGACTTGCACATGGCCCAAACTGAGTGCAGAATCAGGAGTAAGTGGGTGTGGCCCCAACCCAACCCAAACAAACAAAAATAATAACAGCAAACAACGCTGAGGTCAGAGGAGCTGAATAAAATACACAAGGTTAAGAGCTTGGTCTCAAACTGAACACGTGCCATTTCAATACAGTCTGCTATAGACAAAAGGCTTCTTTTATGAGCACAGAGCCAGAAATAGCTCCTGAGCACTGCTAGGTATGACCCCAAACCAAAAACAACAATAACAAAACCCCTCTCCCCCACAAAAGCAAGCATAATTCTAAAGTGATTAGCATATATTGAAACCACTATTATAATGGTCAAAACTTCAGATCGAACGCCACCACGTTACTCTTTTTTCCTTTAAATGTTGCTTTTTCTAGTAATTTCACTGTTATTTGAGAAGCTAATACAATTTCTTGAGTCTCACTTAAAATGTGGTCTCCAGGGATAGAGACAGAGTTTAGGGAAAAAGTGCTTTCCTTGGTGTGGTACCACCTCCCAAAATAGCAGTCTTCATGGGGCTAGAGCATTAATATGAGGGTAGGGTGCGTGTCTGCACATGGCCAACCGTGGTTTGATCCCTGGCACCCGATATGGTACTCCAATGCCAAGAGTAAGTCCTGAGCACTGCTGGGTGTGGACCATGGGCGGGGGGACCAAACCAAATCTTCAGAAGCAAAAAGTCTCTGAAGCACAAAGGGAAGTATGTTATAAAATGCACATTGTATTGCTGCAGCTGAAGATGACGGCAACACTTGTTTGTCCAGTTACGTTTTCCATCTTGCCAGCACTGCTTGGGTAGTGAGGTAATGCTGGAGAAGCACACTGAGGTTCTGCATACAAAGCACGTGCTCTAACCCTCAGGACATTCCCCACACTCCCAAATTATATTTTATCTGAATTGCGGCAAACTTTTCACTCTGACGAACTGCTGAAAGTACATGCGAGCTGGACTTTGAGAAAGACATAAAGAGAAAATTCAATGAAGACCTTCGTAAGCAAAGGTTCTTGCTAAGGAGTACCGAGTTCTGGCCTGAGCCATGCAGGGCATACCTCTCTGGTAAAATATTTGGTTTTCCAAGCTGTGCCTGTTTCTGCCCGGCGCCTTTCTTCGGCCCTCTGGCGCTCCTCCAGGGCCCGCTTATGCTCGGTGGCCTTATCGATTTCAGATTCCCTCAGAGAGTCTGTCACGTTTTTCCATAATCGTCTGAAATGAGAAAATCACTTAATATTCTTTTTTTAAAAGCCACAACTGATATCCTTAAAACGGTACAATGAAACACTTCAATTCCTATACCAGACCTATAAATTTCATGGTTATAGTTAAGAAGAAAAAGAAAATCACACAAAGCCAAATACTATACCATTTAAGTATTTAATGTCCAGGATGCTTCAGCTAAAGGTACTTCTTTTTTTTTTTGAACCTGAAGTAGTAAACTTTATTTTTTTTTCTTAAATTTTTATTAGTGAAATACCATGAGGTACAGTTGTACAATGATCGAATATCCATCCCTCCACCAGGGCCCATTCTCCACCACCACCAATCCCAGTATCCCTCCCACCCCCCATCCTCCCATCCCACTCTACCTCTGTTAAAGGTACTTCTCTTAGGGGCTAGAGCGATAGCATAGCAGGTAGGGTGTTTGCCTTGCACGTGACCAACCCAGGTTTAATTCCCTGCATCCCGTATGGTCCCTCGAGCACTGCCAGGAATAATTCCTGAGTGCATGAGTCAGGAGTAACCCCTGTGCAACGCTGGGTGTGACCCAAAAAGAAAAAAAAAATGGTATACTTTTAAATTAAAAATAGGACAAGAACAACAGTGCAGTGGGTAGAGCACTTGCCTTGCATGTGGCAGACCCAGGTTCTATCCCCAGCACCTTACATGGTCCCTGAGCCCTGCCAGGAGTAATTCCTTAGCCAGGAGTAAGCCCTAAGTACCACTGAGGTGGCCCAAACATTTCTTTTTTTTTTAAATTTTTATTAACACCATGAGGTACAGTGTAGACTTATAAATTTTTGTGCTTGGGTTTCAGTTACACAATGATCGAGTATCCACCCCTCCACCAGTGCCCATTCTCTACCACCAGTGATCCCATTATTCCTCCCACCCACACATACCCCCACCTCTGTGGCAGGGCATTCCCTTTTATTCTCTCTCTCCTTTTGGGTGCTGTGGTTTGCAAAAGAGGCACTAAGTGGCAATCAGGTGGCCCAAACATTTCTTAAATATATTTTTTTGGGGTCACATCCGGCGATGCACAGGGGTTACTCCTGGCTCTGCACTCAGGATTACTCTTGGCGGTGCTCAGGGGACCATATGGGATGCTGGGAATCGAACCCGGGTCGGCCGCGTGCAAGGCAAACGCCCTACCCGCTGTGCTATCTCTCCAGCCCCGTCTTAAATAAATTTTAAAAAATGTTTTAGTAATTTTTAAAATTGTGTATTCTTGCTATGGAAAGCAAGATTTTAATAATTTATGCTTTGGGATCAAGCCAGTGGTGGTGAGGCACCAGGTGGAGAGGGTGGACAGCATCTGCACCAGCCCTCTGAGAGGTCTCAAGTACTAAGACTTCTATTTTTATGAAACGCAGGAAATAAGTAAAAGGAGAAACATATGTCGGAACAGACATTTAAAATAATAAAGACCAGATTCACCTTCATTTTTGTTTGTTTTTGTGCCACCTCAGCGGTGCTCAGAGCTTACTCCTGGCTCTGTGCTCAGAGCTCACTCTTGGTTGTGCTGGAGGTCGTGTTTTGGTTTTGGGGAGACAAGCTGGCCTTGTTCAGGGATCACTGCTGGCGGTGCTCAGGGGACCGTATGGGACGGGGGATCAAGCCCAGGTCAGCCGCATGCAAGGCAGGCGCTTTCCCTGCTGTTCTATAGCTCTGGCCACTGGTGTCAGGTTTGGGTTCAAACCTGCAGTGTTGCAGCTGCAGGAATAGCCACGTACTAGGCAAGAGACTGTCCAATTTCACTGATTCCCTCCAGAGGGAGAGTGCAGAGCCAGTAGTAACCCCTGAGCATCGCTGGGTGTGCCCCAAAAAGCAAATAATAATAATAATAATAATAATGATAAAATGTTCAGGCTTCCTTATATTTCCCTTGTTCTTAAGAAGTGTAAGAGGGAAGTTTGTGGCATGTCTCTTTCCTATCACAAATCCCAAATTTCTCTAAAAAGCCAAATACTGTCAATACTTTTTGGAGATTGTACCTGAGTAACATAGAGATCCCTCTCACTCCCCTTAAAGACACAAGACTATTACCATAACACCCTTAAAGAATGTATCAGTTTGTCTTCTAACTGGTGATATAAAAATGTCACTTTGCAGATCCTTTCCCATCCAAAAGAGGTATTAGAATTTTGTCTCAACTTGCTTAATTTGTATTTCTTTTTAATTCTAACTTTCAGTTATTTCCATTTCTTCAGTACGCTATTTCTTTTTCCTATTTTGTGAACTACTCGTGTTCTTTGACCATTTTTCACTCTCCTTTCTCGGGGGTGGGAGCACACTTGGAGATACTCATTGGGTGACTCTTGGCAGGATCCCGCTGGGTTAAACCCGGATCGGATGTTTGCAAGACAAGCACCTGACCCACTAATCCCTCTGGGACCCCTCTCGGCACATTCTTCTCCTGGGCACCTGTCTTTTTGTTACTGTGGACAGGAAGGCGACCTACCTGGACTCGAATGGGTCCTGCTTCTCCAGCGGTCTTACTCTCTTCTTTGTCACCGCCAACTTAGTCAGGTCCACGTACTTGGTCTCTCCGCTGCTGAGCGTGAACTCCAGAGCACTGTTCCACTCCCCTTGTACTCTGCACACTACCGTGTTGGTGAGGGTGTGCTTCACCTCCCCCGTGACCCTGGTGCGGGCAGGAGAGACAGGAGACCCAGCTGATTTTTGGTGTCATCTATTTAAAAGTCTGGGGTCCCTTTATTTGAAATTCTAGATCTACAGAAATAGGTACAAAGGCACATAAGTCGACTTCTGTTGTTTTCATCTGGGGGTCACAGTCGGCGATGCTGGGGGGTTATTCCTGGCTCTGCACTCAGGTCAGGAATCACTCTTGCAATGCTTAGGGGCCATATGGGTTGATAAGGATCAAACCCAGGTCAGCTGAGTGCAAGGCCAGTGCCCTCCCCACTGCGCTATTGCTCCAGCCCTCCAGCTTTTAAACTGAATATAGAAACTAGAAAAATCAGTAAGAGGCAGGGGCCGGAGCGATAGCGCAGCAGGTAGGGCATGTGCCTGGCACGCAGCCAGCCTAGTTTGATTCCCAGCACCCCATATGGTCCCCCGACACTGTCAGGAGTAATTCCCAAGTGCAGAGCCAGGAGTAACTCCTGTGTATCGCCGGGTGTGACCCTAAAAGCCAAATAATTAAATAAAGTAAATCAGTAAGAGGTAGAAACATAGACAAGATACATTAATTTTTTGAATTTTCAAATGAATGCTTCAGACTCGATGAGTTGAAGCATAGTCAGGAGCCCCAAGTTTAATTCCCCAGCACCCAGGCACCAAGTAGGACTAGCATAAATATACCACAGCTTATAGGAAAGCTAGAACAGAGACAGAACTAATTACTTTTGCTTATTTTTGATGAAGGAGATCAAACTTAGATCTCATTTATATAAGACAAGAACTTTTGAGTTCAGGACCAGGACCAGAACTAATTACTTCCATGTATTTTATGTCCACTGTAGAATACAAAACCACAGTCAAATTAGAAAATCAGAACTCAGAAAAGAACACTTTAAGGTTAGGATCTGTTCAAAAGAGAATATAAAGGGACAAAGCCCAGAGAGATCAAGGCTCAAGAGATCACCCAGGCCAAAAGCCGCGAACACACAAGTACAAGAACAGGTAGCGGAATAAAGAAGCGAGAATGCATTAGATATTGTAATACTCTGGGCTGTAAGAAAAGATGACATCATGTGGTTTGCTAACACATGGATGGATCTGAAGAGTGTCGTGCCGAGTGAAAGGAGTCAGAGGGACAGGGGCAGGGACAGGGACAGAGTGATCTCCCTCACAGGTGGGAAACAAAGAAACAGAGTCGGGGATAACAACTGCCCAAGGCAACAAACGAAACAGCGAAGGAGAACTGGTGGCTGTCATCCTCCAGAGGTCATTGGACAGTCAGATTTGGCCCCACAGTGAGGAGACATGTGGGGCCTCACAGGATGGGAGTGGAGCCGGCCCTTTCCTCCCCACTCCGAGACCCTGGGTTGCTGCCCACAAACAGGTTCTTTAGCTCCTGATCAAGCTGCTTAATGGCCATGATCCCAGAGACTCAGAAACAAATCTTGGAATCCAGCAGCTTTTGGCAGAAATGTGACTGGTCCCTGCAGTAAGTTACGAGTGCCAGGCCACCCCAGGTGGGAATAGGTTTCGTGCCGCCATCCGCCAGAGTCCATTGGACAGTCAGGTTTGGGCCCACAGTGATGAGACACGCAGGGCCTCACGGGATGGGGGTGGAGCCGGCCCTTTCTTCCTCGTCCCAACAAGACCCTGAATCGCCGCCCACAAACGGCCTCTCTGGCTCCTGATCAAGCTGCTTAATGGCCATGATCCCAGAGACACAGGAACAAATCTTGGAACCTAGCAGGTTTTGGCAGAAATCCCTCCAGATTTAATTGTTAAAATTTCGGAATTCCAAAATCATAAGTTATTCATAATCAGCAATAGAAAACAAACTGTCTATAGTTGCCTTTAGGCAGATCTGAGTGTTGGGGTAAAATCCCAAACAATAATGGTGGGTCTGGTGTCGAAACATTGAATGTGATCAAAGAAGAGAGAGAGTAATGTGGAAATCATCTGGAAATCATCTGCCCCACAGGCAGGGGGAGGTTGTGGGATGGGGGTGGGGGATACTGGGGTTTTTGGTGGTGGAAAATGGGCACTGGTGTTTCATCATTGTATACCAAGACTTAAACCCGAAAGTTTTGTAACTGCTCTCATGGTGATTCAATAAATAAATTTATAAAAAGGGGGAAAAAAATTGCTTGTAATCACCCAGAAATCACCCAGAAAAAAAAATGCTTGTAATCACCCAGAAACCATTTTTTATATGAAAAAATAACCAAGGGCCTGGGAGTCAGATTTGAATTAGAAAGTCCAGTTTCTGAACAAAAAACAAAGGTCTACAGACTTGGAATCCAATGCGAAGGTGTGAGGCAAACCACAGAGCAAATCAGCTCTTGCTTAACTGTGGCTCTCAGGAGACAGGGAACCGCGCCCACTATCAGCTCGGCCAGAACACTGCATCTCAGAGCACAGAAATCTGAACAACTGCAAGCTGAAGATAACAGCCTATTTATTTTCTGTTCTTTTTTAATTTAATTTTTTTGTGGGGGAGGGAAATGCTGGGGATCAAACCCAGGGCCTTACACATGCAAAGCAGGAGCTCTACCCCTGACCGGAGGCCCAGCCAAGAGTTTCTTGTGTCGATGCTTCCTCTCTGTTCCCACCTGCCAATATTAATCCCTTCCTCAAAAATTTCTCTCTAGCCAGACGGGATATAAAGATGACACTGCACATCTTCTCTATTCATATCTACCTGGAGTGATTACTCTCGAAACCATGGAGCTCTCTGGGATTCCCATAGCTAGTCTCTCGAGTTACTAGGGACAAACGGGTCCCCATTCCCTACCCACGCACACTGCGCTCTGACAGCTCACAGCAAGAGCGGTTGGAGAGAACTGACACAGGCAACAGGATTCACACAAGCTACAGCAAGGTCATGAGGAACTCGCATGGAGAAGGGCTTGCCTCATCAGCTCTGAACAGTCTTCGCAGCACTCAATGCCAGATGAAAGGATTTCCGCACTCAGGGCCGGCCAGGCCTACGGACCCTGATCTGTGGGAAAGTAACCCAGGTAAGTGTGAGTCCCTGAATGTCTAAGTCTGCAGCTCTGGTTTCGTGCCACACAGTGTGGGGCTATGCCACTGCATTGGTCTGGCTCACTCCTGTCCACTAATCACAAGACTATTTTGAACTACTAATATGCTTTTCCTTCAAAAGCTTTTTTCAAAGATAGGGTCCTATATTTTAATACCAGACCAAAAAATTTGTAAAGACGAAGCTCATCTTCTTTATACCTTCGGTATGCAGGAATGTCTCATGTGTGTGCTCACCCACGTAAATGAAATCATTATCCAACGGTGGAAATGTGGGAAATGGGAGCCGGAGATGAACCAGGGCACGGGGAGTTGCTAGGCAGGCTGGCCTGGATACGTCAGAGCCGGTCGCGGAAAATGCGGGTGCAAGCGAAGACACGTGGAAGTGCCACACAGGAAGCGAGACAGCAGAGAAGGTGTCAGCGCTGGCAGACAGTGGTGGGAGCAGGCTATTCCGCGGGGGGCGATGTGCTAACGAAGGCGTGGAGGAAGCCTTGCTCATGATGCTCCACGCAACTGCACTGTAGCACTGTCCTCCGGCTGTCCATCGATTTTCTCAAGCGGGCACCAGTAACGTCTCCATTGTGAGACTTGTTGTTACTGTGTTTGGCATATGAATACGCCACGGGGAGCTTGCCAGGCTCTGCCGTGCGGGCGGGAGACTCTCAGTAGCTTGCCGGGCTCTCTGAGAGGGACCAAGGAATCGAACCCGGGTCGGCCTCGTGCAAGCCCTACCCGCTGTGCTAGCGCTCCATGTAATTAAAGAGAAAAAAATAAAACAGGTAATTCTGGTTGTCTCTGATTTTAGTGGCTTCTGAAGGATCACTTCTGGTGGGCTTGGGGGACAAACATGGTGCCGGGGAATCAAATCCAGGCCAGACACTTGCAAAGCAAACACCTTACCCACTGCACTATCTCCTCAGTCCTAGGAATTCTGTTTCTAATGTGCATATTCAAGAAATTAGGTGAAATCTTGTTTGCTATTTGTTGGGGGCCGGGGGGAGCACCACACTTGATGGTGTTCACGGCTACTCCTGCCTACTTCTTGGGCCCATAAACCATTTTGTTTATGTTTTTTGGGGGGGAGTGTGGGATTGGGCCACATCCAGCAGTGCTCAGTCGACCCTGGCTCTACTCCCAGAGAACATGTGCACAGGGCTGAGCACTGTGCTGGGGATTTTAGCTGGGTATGAAGGGAAGCACCTTACTCCTTGCACTTTACCTCTGGTCTCCTAGAAATGGATTTTAAGGAAAATCTGAATGAAAAACAAGGGAACGTGGAGTCAATTGAAAGCTTCCTTTAGGAGTTATACAGGCACCCAGGAGATGGCTCAGAGAGTCAGACAGTTACTGAGCAGGAGAGTCTCAGAGAGTCAGATGGTTACTGAGCACGCAGGAGAGTCTCAGAGAGTCAAAGGGTTATTCAGCACTCAGGAGAGTCTCAGAGAGTCAGACAGTAACTGAGCATGCAGGAGAGTGCTCAGGGAGTCAGATGGTTATTCAGCACTCAGGAGAGGCTCAGAGTTAGACGGTTACTGAGCATACAGGAGAGTCTCAGAGTCAGACAGTTACTGAGCGCGCAGGAGAGTCTCAGAGTCAGACGGTTACTCAGCACACAGGAGAATCTCAGAGTCACACGGTTACTCAACATGCAAGAGGCAAGGGGGCCCAGCACCCACTTCCTCTTAAGCACTGCCAGAGGCAGTTCCCCCTCAACTCACCTGAGTTCTGTGCCCCTCGCCCAAACAGATACAAATTAAGAAGAGAATGTCTGTGTGAATGCAGAGAGGAAAGATGACGTATACTAAAGGAACATTTAATTCCCACTCACAGGGTCTGATGCCTACTCACAGGTCATATAGAGGCAGGAAGTAAAAGCTTCAGAGAAGGAAGGTGTAAAAATTATGCAATGACCACCAAAGACAAAAAGCAGGACGTTTATCTGAGATTATAAGGAATCTT